CCACGTTTCTTTCTTACTAATAATAACAAGGAACTCAAAACTGTTAGCATTATTATCTGCATATTGGCATCAAAGAAGCTCATGCTTTGGAAGGGACAAAAGGTTATGAAAAATACACTCAATAATTGCGGAAAGTAAGTAGGAAGGAATTTTTTTAGAGAGAATTGTGTTTTGTTTGTTCACTTTGTTGTTTTTGAAAAAATGGAATTTTAAAACCTTTAGGCAGGGCATTCATTAACTGGTTCTTCACAGGTCCTACCGCCGAGCCCCACCAATGATGTTAGTTTCCTGACCCTGCAGGGTTTTCCCACTCCTGACTGAAACTATTGCTCTTTTTCTATCCTCCGCTTAACCAAGGCAGCATGGATTAACCATGCTGACCATTCTTTTTGTAAAACACACAGACTGGTACTCAAGGCACGCTGAATGCTTACAGCTGAGGGCATTCACTTATTTCTGTTTCCAAAGTTGAGTGGGACGTTACACCAAGAATCAGCCTTTATTGTTCCCCCGAGTATTTATGACGATCTTATTTTTCCTCCAATTACACACTTTAGATACAATTTATATAAGCTGATGACACATGAGTACAAAAAAGATAAAAGAATTGCTGTTTCTAAACAAGCTCATTTGAGTCCCTTGGAAACATCCAGTAACGGTGAGTTGCTAAATTTAAACTGGATGTGGGTGAGGCAAATATAAAAGATTGGACAAATATTATAAAGATCTAAAAGCATTATTTTCAGATAGCTTCGTAAATGTCTTAAAATTCTAGTTCCCTTGTAAAAAAACCGCAACTAGAATTCACAGAGGATTCGTTGTGGGCCAGAAAGCCCATGTGGATTACCATCAGTAGCCTCCTACTTGGAAAAGAGAGATTGCCAATTGATGTGCACCTGGGTATTTTAAAATAGGATAAATTAATATGATACTAATATATTATTCTTCATGATTGCCAGCCTTAAATAGTTTTTTGATCAACTCACTATCTATAGGTCTCTTGTGTGAATGATATGAAAGTTTTTTTATGTATTAGACACTAAAACATCACTTCTAAAAAAATCAATAAAATTGCATTTATATGTAAGTATAAGTAAGTAAGTATGCCTTTATATGTAAGGCATGTGGTCTTATAACATATTTATTTTTATCATATATATATATATATATAGATATAAGAATAGTAATTTTCATGATGTTTTTAGTACTTACCTAGAACATTCCATCCTTAATGTATTGAATCTGGCTCACATTTGATTTTGATTTTAGTACAGGTGGATACTGGAATGAAACAGACTTTCTAGGTGAGAATTACAGGTTCTAAATTATATGTCCCAGAGGAAAGAGCACTGTATACAGATAAAAACTCCTTGTCAGCTTCAAGATTTTTCTCTCTTAAGTGGAGCTCTCGGGCCTTTGATTCCACATATGTTTTGATATATTCCAATGCTATAGCATAGGCTTGACCAACACAAAAACTTATACGATGATGGAAGAATTCTTTGGTAATTTTTAACATGACATTTTCAAGGTCTATAAAACAGATTCTTGCAGAGTTGACTATGACCTCTAATACTCACATCCTAGTCTTTGAATCTAACTTTAGAAATCCAAGTGTATTAAAAGCTGTCACCACAAATGGCAAAAAGCTCATAAAACTTGGTTTACTTCCCAAAGTAAGTTTATCCTCTAAAGTTGTGTTATTTTGGAACTGTGGATTGTGTAAACTTCTGCTTAAACAATCAAACAGCTTACGATCTTCACTGATTTACTGAAATCCATCCAAGAATCCAGGACATCTTTTGGTTAAGTTAAACAGAAAGCAACAGCTGCTTCTTGAGCAGGGGAGGGGGAAAATCCCTCCTTAAAAAGAGGAGTAAGGGAGGGGGACAAGAAAAGGAAAAAAAAAAAAAGTAACCAAATGATGGAAACAGAAATGTGTTTGCTTTTACCTTAGAGGGTGCTGTCAGCCAGTCAGGTACTCTAACATCGATGGTTTTAATTGCAAATCTTTTGGTTAAGATTCAAAGCCTAAATCTGAAATTAAGAAGGGTGAGGTACACCATCTTTCCTTTATCTTTCTACTGTTTGGTATTCAAATACAATTTGCCATAATGAAAATCCGCCATGTTCTGTGTTAACTTGGTTGTCCCATTTAGAATCTGTTTCAAATACTTAAAATGGTTAGCAAGATAAAAGGTTTGAATTAATATTTTATAAGACATTAATGAACCATAATCCAAGGTAAGTGCAATGTACTGCTGGAATTGGCAGTTCTGACTCAATGTCTGCTGGTTTGTTGTAGGGGCTTTGTTCCTACACATTTTCATGTCTCCACACCAGCCAATAAAAATTTTGGAAATCCATTCCCTCCTTTTTAGACTGATTTTGTGCTTTTGCTCAGTGAAGAACTGTTGAAGAGAGAACTTGAGGAGAATTCCTTATGTTACAGTTTCATGTCACCCTGAATTGTAATTAGTAAGATAAAGTTCAGAGGCACACGAATATTTGCTAAGTCTTAAGAGACTTCTGAAGTTGTTCATTTTCTCTATGATTAAAACAAATGAGGCACTGCTATTAAGAAGCGCCCTGGGTCCTTAGGGTTGGCTTGTTTTATTTGTTTCCACTTGAAAGAAAAGTCTTTTAACTGCCAAGTGTCCTTTACTAATTGTCTTCTTTGTCGCCATTCAGTTGGAAAAATATCTCTATCAATAAAAAAGGATAAACTATTAGAAGTTATAATATTGGCTTTTGGCTATTGGCTATTGGCTTTTCTGATTATCATTACTCGGTATTTTGACTTCTATATAGAATAATATCAAGTATAAAATCTCAGCATATGAAAAGGCTATTTAGAAAGGAAATAGAATGTTCAGTAAAATAATACCTTATGATACCAGTCTTGTGTGTTTCCACTGCCTTAGAGGTTTTATCTGTGAATCTTAAACAGTAAAATTCTAAGTATGGAAATTTCCCTCTCCACATGCTGTTTTGGGGTTGTTTACTTAGTTCAATTGATACAATGTTCTTACCTAAGAAATATACTTTTATGAGTTTTGGGAGGCACTTGGCTCAGTCAGTTAAGTGTTCAGCTCTTGATTTCAGCTCAGGTCATTGATCTCGGGATCCTGGGATCAAGCCCTGACTCGGGCTCTGTGATGAGCGTGGAGCCTGCTTAAGATTCTCTCCTTCCTTCTCTCTCTACCTATCCCCATGCTCAAGCACAAGTGCTCTGTCTCTCTCTCTGAAAAAAAAAAAAAAAAAAAAAAGAACGATGTATACTTTTATGAGTTTCTTTCATAATGTAAAATTTTTGTATGTTACTTTTAAAATATTTTAGTATTAAAATGATATCTTCCCTTATTTCAAACTTGAAATTTTGTCTGTATCATGTTTGAAAATAAAAAAAAAACAGTAGAAAATCATGGACTATGAGTTCAATTGGCTTGACATCTAATCCTAGATCAGCCATTACTTAGCCAAATCACTTGTCCTCTTCTAGCTTCTGGTTTTTTCTCTTATAAGATGATGGTGCCAAAACACTCAGAGTATTCTCCAAGGTCTCAATCCCATGATTCTCTGACACTCCAGGACTCCATGTGTCATTTCAGATCTTTTGTGATATTATCACTTTTTTAAAAGTAGTTTTAAAGATAATGAAGGCATTGAAGACATTTTTAAAAACTTTTCTACAAATTTATGTTAATGAATTAATTAAATACATTTTTAAAATGTATTTTCAGAAATTACAGCATAAGCACTTACTGTAAGTTAGTTTGTCAGGTAGCACCTCATTTGCCTGCCTTTTCAATGCATTTGCAGAACTGTGTAATATTTCCAGAGTGCCATATAAAGAAACTGGGCACTTTTTCAATACTCCATAATTAAAAGATAGCTGTACTAGTTGGTGGTCCAATTCCTACAACAGTCCTGAAAGGCATTTGCTTTCATCTACTAACTGGCTACCATGGTGGTAACAGATGACTTTTAAACAGCTGTCACAAGCTAAAAACAAAACAAAATAAAAAAGCCACCCTCCCACACTATGTACAGACAGCTTGCCAATAGCTGAAACAAATTCTAAGATCATTTTAACAAACAACCTCCCCTCCCTTTTTTTTTTTTTTTTTTGGTTATTGTTACAATTAAATAGAAACTCATGAAACTCAGACAAGCTGGTTTCATGTTTCTTGCAGACCTGAACTGCCTACATTTTCTAATGGGATCACAGCAATTAGTGGTTTCCAGATGCATTTAAAATGTGTTAAATGCCTGCAGGAATTGGCTTTTAACACACACAAGTCTTCAAATGCTTCAATCTCAAGAATCTACTATAAGCCTCACGAGGTACTATGAAGTCTATATAATGTTTGGACAAAGTTGGGTGCTTACACTGCAATTAATAGAAAAAAAATGGGAAATTTAAAAAATTCTGTGTCTTACATACAGTTTTCTTTTTAATTCCTTATTCCCTTTTAATGGTCACATCACCAATTCCCTTATTATCCAAAAATCATAGAAATAATTAACAACTTTCATTGGAGAAAAATCTGGAATGAATGGTGTTCTGAAAAGAATGTTCTTGGTGTCCTTGGGTCATTAGGACTCCTGGAAAACTCATTCCTGGACTGTGGCTAATTGAACTACAAACATGTCAGTCTGACAACGTTAACAGTTTATGACTCGTCCGTTGAAATGTCCAGCTTTCTTTTACTTGCTCCTGGACAATTTCTCCCTGTCATGAGACTCTTCTACAACCGAAAGACTGAGTCTTTATGTTTATACCTAGTGTTTTACCTTTGGTTGAAACTAGGCAGAAGGCGACTTTGTGGTCTGTTTTCTCATAACTGGCAGTGCTGAAAACAAGACATGAGAATAAAAACATGGCTTTTGATGAAAAATGTATTTAACAGGTGGTTTTCTTCTCTAGTCACTGACATGGTTACCTTCCCTTGAGACCCATCCGAGCCTCACGTCCTTTATATTTTTTTTTCTTTTAGATTCCATGTGGACGACGCATAAACAAAAATGAGAAACACGAAGAGAAACTGGTAATGTTCACCAATCATCCGGAGGATTCTGAAAGGTAATATGACATTTGATTTAGAGGATATATGCCTATAATAATAATGTTCTAACTGAGCACTTCTGCCGTCAGACACAGATGATGAGTCCACTAAAAGTGGATGAGAACCTAACTGGATCAAACCATATAGGGTAGATAAGAAAAAGAGGGGGGATAACAATGTGGATTACTTGAATATATTTTCTTTTGTTGCTCTCTCGGGGGCAAGAATCTATGGTAGGTCTTGGAGGTTTTTGTTTATTTTTTTAAGTATTTGGTAAATTTACCTTGGCAAGTTTGGACCTTGAGATAATTTCTATTGAATAGCAGAAATTAGCTCCTAGAAAACAACTCTAGTTCATTAATAACGTGAAGTGATCGTGATATCTTCTCTCCTGAGTTATTAAATCCTTAGCTGAGGGATAGTGTGAGAAATTTACTACATCAAAAAATCCCATCCTCAATCACTTTCCATATTCTCTCAACCCTTTATAGATTTTCTCAAGCTTTCTATTCATTGACCCACATAGCTTTTTCTTTGACTTTTTATATAGCACCTTTTAGGTGCAAGATATTTTGCTTGCTACCTGCAGAAGATGAGTCAGATACAGACACTATCCTCTAGCTTGCTTGCTGTTCAGAAGTGAAAAACCAGACACATACCTCAGTATATTATACCTTCAGCAGTTGCCTCATAAGTAAGGCCTATATACCCTTCTCTGAGAAATCAGAGGAAGGTGAGAATCCTAGTTGTGGCCATAAAAAGATGCCAGAAGAAGGAGTTGTTTGGCCTGACTTCTAGCAAAAGAAGATGGGAGAAAAGATGAAAAAGAGAAGGAAGAAGTGTTTCGGGCTCAAGGCAGAATGTGTACAAAAAATGTCCTCACAGGAAAATGAGGACTTGTGTAGGGACCAGTAAGCAGTTCATTCTGGCTTCCACATCTGGCATGTAATACAAAACACATCTTGAGTGAGAGACTAAAGAGCCAGCAACTTATTCTGTAGAGCAGTGTTTCTCTGTCTATAAAGACAAAACTTCTTTAAGTTAAAGTTAAAGAAATAATAAAACTCAGGTTCATAAGCCAGTGTTTCTCAAATTAGTGTTCTCATAACCTGTAGGTCTGGAGACACAGACACATGTTCAGGGTTCTTGGTCTGTGAAAAGCTACTCAAGAAAAGAGGTCCATATGTACTTTCAGTATGGGAATCATGACCCCATATGAGGGGAGGGAATTTTGAACAAGGCATTGACAATAGGGTAATCTGGCAACAGTGCTTACAATTGGCAAGGAGGAAAATTAGAAGCTTGAATAATTATAGAAATGTCAATTCCTCACATTCCTCTCAACCAGTGTCTATAACAAGCACGTTAGTCTTTAACTGTATAAGTTTAGCATCTTAATTTGTACTACTCTTTGTTATTCTATAACTGTGCTGTGTGTACTTCTCTCCCTGATAAGATTTAATCTATCTCAAGAGAAAAAACTCAACATACAGCAGTATAACCCACTTTAACAGTAGGTCCACAATAAGCACTGATCTATTTCATATAGAATTTTATCAAACGTAAGTAAAATACAAAATGTACATCACAGAAGTACTCTGGTGATTAACCAATTATACTGACAACTCTAAGATACTATAGATATTACAGAAGCATAGAATACAACCTACAATATTGAGTGATTTCTAGGAAAGCTGATACCTTACTCTCCTTTGATAGAAGAGGTCCATGTTTGCCACATTTTACCAATTTAAAAGAGAAAGAAGAAAAGTGAGGAAAAGAAAAAAAGAAGGAGGGAAAAGAGACGGAAAGAAGGCAGTCGCATCCATTGTTTCTGTGTTTTGAAGATATGTATATCCTTAGCATTTTCTGTATATCCACTCTGAAGAGGTGGGGATTAACCTCCTCCCCTCCCCCCACACCATTGTCTTCATGTGGAGAATTAGAAGGACTCCATGGGTTCCTGGGTCTTACTCTGTTGCCTCCTCCTGCAGTGCACAGGCATGTTGAGATTCTCTCCATTTACTAATGATGAAAATTACGCAGAATTTAGTAGTTAACGTATTTTTTTCTACAGTAGTAAAAAAAAATGTGTATTTCTGAGAGAAAGCGGGGGTAGGTCTTTAACAGTAATTTGGAATGTTCAAGAGATAGTTTTCAGGTTAACCTTTCAAGATGTATATGACTCAGGGTCCAGAAGAAGTGTGAGTGGATGAAGCAGATACTGCAGGCTGTGTTTCTGTCTCAGGGGAGGTGAGAAGGAAAGAAGGAAAAAGGGAGAGGAGAAGCAACGGGGCAGAGTGCTGAGTCATTGTTCCCTCCTGCTTTCCTAACCGGTCTCCTTTCTAATTGAACCATTTTAGGCTCTCCAGGGGTAAAATTTGCCATCTCTTCAAGTACTACGTGGTGATACTATGGATGTCATACCAAGCTTCTTTACAAAGTAGAAGTAAAGAGTAGAGGTTTTTATGGATCCCAGGGAAGGATTATCTAAGTAAATACAGTATTTTATAGTTTTTTATCTTCCTTTAATAGGATCTCAAAGCATCTTTGTTTTGGAGTACTCTTATAATGCTAGCTCCTCATCTTAATTTTTCTAAGGTAAATGTTTGTCTGTCTTAAAGTTTATTTTAAGAAATGTGAGTATTTTTAAAATGAATTATGTGTTCAGAAAATTATAACTTAGCAAGGAAAACTACTATGATTCATTATAGCCTCATGTAGAGGTAATCTCAGAAGGATAAAATGAATGTTAAATTCTCATGAATTGCCTCTTTTACCTGGCATTAAACTTATTTATGATGGCACTCTTTCAGCCTATTATTTAACACGATTGAATACAATCTCAGTCATTCATTGCCTTCCCAGCACGATGTACTGGTTTTAGATGCACTTAAGGAGCTTCTGTGTCTTTCCCCATATTCAGAGAACTCAAATGCCATTATGCAAAACATTGGTGTACTTTAAGAAAATAAAGCAAAGAGACTCAGTTACTACTAAATTTGTGGTTGGGGGGGGAAATGTAACTAGCCAGTCTGTTAGCTTTTCGATTAAAAAAGACAAATAACCCCCCCCCCAAAAAATAAATAAGTAAATAAAAATAAAACAATAGTTGCTGGGGTTTTGGTTGTTTTTTTGTTTTTTTGTGTGTGGGTTTTTTTTTTTTTTTTCCATATGAATAGTATACTCCCCTCCAGCTGCAGTATTTGGCAGCCAAACAGCTGCTGGCTATTAAATGTCCCTTAAAACTCCATTTTTTGCTCATAAAGGGAAGAGAAGTGCGGGGACGTTTATGGGGTGACAGGCAGATGTTTTTGTTAGAGCAAGACTATGTATTTGGTAAGAGAAAGCTAAAGTGATCTCTTTCATGATATCATCAGCATTTTTACAATTCTTTTGGCTTCTTTGTTTTTAACTTCCTTCTTACCTGACCCTAAATTAAACTATTTTGGAAAAGCAGAACAAAAGACAGCTTGCACAGTTGCTGTCCACATTGAAGAGAGGTTAGTGGTACCATCTACTTTCTCAGAAAGACATAAATTATTTTCTGTCCTCTCAGATTGTTTCATCAGGTAGAAGAGAAATGATTTTGAAGTGTTGAGTATTTTTAGTGACTCACAGAACATCACAGGTCATCATAATTTTTTTTCTCATAAATTTTGCTAATTCTTAGTCATGCTTTAAGTAGTTTCAATATTAAAGTTCATGAAACAAATTTGTCAGTTTTTCATAAATTATAGATATTCAAACTAGTAAACATCAAAGTCATATCGGATTTCTGGACAGTATCTCAATTATGTGTTTATGTGTAACATTAACTAAAACTAATTTTTATTAGATGTATAAATTCACAGAGATTTAAGACAAGGGGCTTTTGGAAAACTTGTGTTTTCAGCCAGACTCTATAAAGCACATTTAGGAAAAGCTTCTTCCATGTAAACAACCCCCACGGGATGAAAACACACTTTTCATTTTCTGAGGCCTAGCTTACACAGAATGCCTAAACAGATATCCATAGTATGTCTTTTGTTCTGTCTGTTTTTGACACTTTATGCCTGCATAAACTCTTTGATTCAATGCAACAAGCACTTGAGAAATTCCTACTATGTGCTAAGAAGTGCTGGGGAGATGCTGGTGGAAAGAACACCAAATTAAAATTCCCCGAAGAATCTACTGAGTGAAATAAGTCAAGCAGAGAGAGTCAATTATCATATGGCTTCACTTACTTATGGAGCATAAGAAATAACACGGAGGGCATTGGGAGATGAACAGGAGAAGGGAGTTGGGGGATATCGGAAGGGGAGACAAACCATGAGAGACTGTGGACTCTGAGAAACAAACTGAGGGTTTTGGAGTGGAGGGGGTGGAGGGTTGGGTGAGCCTGGTGGTGGGTATTAAGAAGGGCACGTATTGCATGGAGCACTGGGTGTGGTGCATAAACAATGAATTTTGGAACACTGAAAAAAAAATTAAATTAGATTAAAAAAAAAGAATCTACTTATCAGTTATCTGGGAAGGACAGCTTCTGCCTCTCAGCATGAAATTTGTGTATTCAGATACTGTCTTAGCCAGCTTTTACCTCAACAGAAACGTCTTTGATATTAACTGTGGAGGGACAGAGCTTGCTGGGCAGGTCACAAATAACATGCAGTTAGCTGAATGAGCTGTATATTAGTCTTCTTTTTCTGCGTGTGCTAACTCTTAGAGTTGCCTTTTTTGCTAAAGGCTTCAGAATTTAAGCTCAAGGCATCTCCTCCAATGTGCTAATTAAATCCACAGATCCTTCTAAGGCAGTACAGTCAGTTTCCATGGATCAAACTTGACACAGTTTGAGCTGAATAACATGATGGAAGATACTGCATTAGCAAAACTCTGGTTTTCAGGGCAATTTGGAAATAACAAATTCACGACTCTCTTTGTGCTGTTAGGACAGGAAGTCACTTAAATATACTATGTGATGAAATAATGAAAAAAATAAAGGAACTCGAATTTGGAAAATTCAGTTTATGTTGGTCTA